ACTTGTAACACTAGGAAGTGATGTTAACAAAATTACATGGAAAAAGCTTCAATCAAAGATACAGGTACTGGCTTTGTTGATTTTAGCACATGTAATGTTCATGTCATGCACACTGGTTTCTGCAAAAGTCTTGAAGAATATGGTCATGAAGTAGAGCAGCTTGTCATTGATATGAATAGTTTGTTTAGGGATTCAGCTATTAAAAGAAAATACTCTTAATATTTACAACTGAATTTGGACTTAGAAGTTCAGATGTTCCAAGAACTTGGCATCAGAACGTAGATAATAAATCAAAGTTTAGTATTATTTAAGTTCTTAATTTTATAAGGAAATATTTAAAGATAATTCTCAATCTCTCCTAGTATGAGAACTGTGACATTTGTTATCTATGTCTTCCGTCTTCTCTAATGTTTTTCCTCTTCTTTGAGAAGTGTGAAATTTTATGTCAATTACTCGTTATGAGGTTGTCAGCATTCAGGCAAAGCATAATTTGCATAGTCTTGAATCTTATTTAGTTACAGAGCAATCAAATAGAAAATCAAACCCTTCTTGCCACATCACATCCTCTCTTTCAGAACCTGCCAGTAGTTCTCTCTGACATTTAAGACTACATTATTTAAAACCAATAGAAAGCCAAAGTTTTTCTCTATCAAATAATGTATCATATGACACTGTTGTCTGTGCAGAGAATTGTCTGTTTTCCTTCCAGTTCAAACTATTCCCACAGGAAATGCATTGATGAGCTTAGCTGAATCTTTAACACCTTTTGTTGCACACTTAGAAAGCCAGAAATATTGTAACAGTTATTGAACATTGTTTCCTTTTTCCATGTTATTATTCTGTGTTCTTTGGTACATTATTTATTTAAATAGAAATTATTTAATGCAGTAGAATTAGTATTAAAATGTGGGGTTAAGTTTCATCGACAGTCAAGAGCAAAAAAAAAAAAAGACCCAAGTGAGTACTTTATTTCTTTTTTTTTATGTGTATTCTTTATTTATTATTACAAAAGTAGTAAAATGTAAAAATTGTAAACTTTTTAGGTTAGAAAAAGTAATATATATAATATTATTAATAGTAATAATTTTTATCAGGTACGGTTGCGAGTAGTCTGTGTGCTACGTAATTCGAAACCGTAATGTGAGCTGCATATTTGCTAAGTGACTTGAAATTTATATGGTGCAAATAGTAGTTAGACATGGTTCAAAGGGTAATACAAAAATAAAATTTAAGTATAAATAGATGTATACTGTTACAAGCTATAAGTTACTTAATTAAACAATTGTGGTATTCTGTTACAATTTGCAGTCATTCCAGAAAAAAAATAGGGGAAATTTATAATTATTTACTAATTTTATTATGGTGGTTATGAAGTCAGCCAAAGCAACTGACCTCATTTTGAGTTAGGGTAGAGAAAATAACATAAAATGTAAAGTTTTTCTGTAAAAAACATTTGATATATATTTAGGAGGGTTTTAGGTGCTATGCAAGTGATATTTGAAAATTTTCAGATAAAGAAAAGTACTTTTAATCTTATGAAAATTACTTTGCACTCTTAAAGAGAGAGAATATGCAGTGTAAATTGTAAATAGTTTTTATTGAATATTAACACGCTGTTTTCTTCTTGGAGAAGGTAAATCTATATAAATATAATAGTACAGTCTGTTGTATGTCCATGTAACTACTTTGCAGGATGTGGACAGAGGTTCATTAGGTCCGTGCAAGGGTACATACAAATTTTCAGTTTTTGCATTTAGTACTTTGACCCTGTAGATTGATCTTCACCAACTTTGGTATGGAGGCTCATTGGGTCCATGGGGAGATGCATACAAATTTTCAGTTTTGCAGTTCTTGTGGGCATTTTTGAGTCTTTGCATTTTTTACCATTACTTCGACCCCTTGTTGATGGATCTTCACCAAATTTGGCATGAAGGTTTGTTGAGTCCATGTGGAGATACATGCAAATTTGAAATTTCACATTTTGTGTTTTACAGGTTTTATGGATGTTTTGCATTTTTCTACAAGGGAAGCAACTTTTTATGTCCTAAGATAACCTTTCATTAATCATGAATTTCCATAAGTTCCATCCAAAGGATGGGTACTCCATATAGTATATAAAATAAAAATTTTCATTGACATTGAATTGCTTTTTTTTCTTCCTTTTTTTTGAGTTTATTAAATTATTCCTATGGGACCCTTGAAAAGTTGAGAGTCTGGGACCCTTCATGTGGGACCCTAGTGAAAACCCTGCTCATAGGACCCTCTGCTAGTAGACTGATGATAATAGTGCAGTTTCACTTCATTGACAACACAGTTTAGATTTTTTAGGAATTTTTAAGGTCATTTCAGGTACCACAGGTATAGCAAACCTGTACCACTATGAACCACAGGTACATAGACTTTATGATGAGATAATTAACTTGTTAAAGAAGTTACTATATTAGGAAAGATGCTATTGAGAGGAAAGATAGTTCATATCTGATAAATATAGATGTATTCCAGGTTTAAACATATTTAGGTAGTGGCATACCATTGATGAAGACACAAGGAGAGAACTAGAAAAATGTGCTGAACAGAAAAAGTGTATACTTAAAATGAGAGCCAGTTATGATGCTGTTACTTCCCATCTTCAGAAGAAACTACCTATGAAAAATAAAGTGCTTGCTGGTCTAGAATATTTGAATTCATGAAAGATTAACCAGTCAAGACTAAATGAAATTGAGTATGTTGCACTAAACATTGTCTATTTCAGATGATGTGGTCATAAAGGCAACATATATATGAAAGTTAATGCTGTAGATAACACCTTGCAAGTATCCTCCTTCAAACATGTGGATCATTTTTGGAGAGAAATATTTACCCGAGCAATGACAAATGGTTGTCCAAAGTATCCTGGTCTGATAAAAGTAGTTAAGATGGCATTAATTTTTCCTTGTGAAAATGCAGAATTTGAATATAGATTGTCAGTTAACAGTTCCATAGTAACACAACAAAGGATGTTGCTTAATGAAACAGCAATAAATGGATTAAAAATTGCAAAGGTCACCAAGGATTTTTCAGATACTGAACAGTTGAAAACACCAAAGAAATGCTGCCTGCTACCAGGAATGCTCATTTTGAGTATCAGAGAAGAATGAACATGGATAGACAGAAACAAAAAAAGGTAAGAAGAGAAAAGAGAATTAGAAATGAAACAGATTGAAGATGAAAAAAAGAAATGTTAATGGTACCAAAAATGATTTTATTGGAGAAAGAAAAAAACTAGCTGGAAAAAAGAGAAAGACAAATGATGGATTAACATCTACATATGATCTCTCGAAAAAGGTAAGTGAAATAAATGAACCATACAATTGAAAAAGGAGATAAAAAACACTTTTACTGCTTAATTGATGATTGATTTAATACAAGAGAAAAGAGAGAAATTGAAGAAAAGAAAAAAAAACCTTTTGGAAGAAAAAAAAAGAATTAAAACACCCTGAAAGAAAGTAACAAAAGGTGTTTGTGCTCCAAAGAAAATCTACCTCATAGAATAAACACTCAAATCATCTAGTAGCCATTCAGGGTCCCTTTTTGTTGTTGTTGTATGTCACCAGGATCACATAAATAACAACCAAAATCTAAAAGTACAACTTTAATATCTGAAAATAGTGAAAAAGAAATTTAGTTCAAGAGCAAAGGTACTACAGAATGACATTGAAAAATATATGGTGAATGTCCTTTAATTATAATAAGTGTGAGGTAATGCATTTTGGATATAATTTAGATCATACGTTCTATATAGATGAAAACCAACTAAAAAAAATCACCTAAGGAAAGGATATCGGCATAATAGTGGGTAAGTCACCCAACCCAGTGAAGCAGTGAATTGTTAATAGTAGTAAAACCAATAAATTTATGGTTATATTTAAAGAAAGACTGATTACAAGTCAAAAAAAGGTAATTATTTCTTTATACAAATCAATAGTCAGGCCTCACTTGGTCTTAACTAAAGAAAGAATATTGACTTGTGATCTTATTGAAATTTACAAGATTGTGCAGGGAATTATTAGGATAAAGGCTTCTGATTTCTGTATGCTATATTCAGAAGACAATAGGATGAAATGATATAAGTTTCAGATTTGGTAAAGACTGTCAACTGTAGTGGAAGCCAGAACTTTACAGGAGTTTAAAAAGGAGAATCATTGATTTCCTAGAAAGTAAAGAGTGGGTAAAAATTTTACTTTTCCCAAGGATAGGTATACAAGGACATCCTTGAAAGATGAAATGGTAGTAGATCCAGGCTATTAAGGCATTTGCTAATCAATTAAATGTTGGTCTCAGTAATCAGTTATATTCAACTAGGCAATTATTTTCACATGACATTTGGATAGTTGGAATAATCAAAAGAGTAATTATTTGAAACATCTATTTCTGTTGGTTGATTATGTTTGGAAGTTGTGATACCAGTAGATTACGTTGAACAACCTAATTCATTAAAAATGATAATGAGAAATCATTATAGGAATATTTTGTTTACTTAGATAATTGGAATAATTAAAAACAGCAATAACTGGAAACACAAATTTCATTTAGTTGATTATTTTTGTGATATTGATTTAAGCAATTTCAATTAATTGATTACTTTCAGTGACATTAATTGATGTAATTAATGCTCATAGATAATGGAATTAATCTCCCAGCTCTAATTCCTTGTCTGTATATATTTTTGCACTGTCATATTCTTTTTAATTAAATCCTAACTCTGTACTTTTTCTGTAAGTCTCTCATTTTGAATTTTCTTGAAGGTCTTTTGTAACTTAATTCTAATTAAAATACTTATGCTACATTCATGCTGCAGCATTGTTAAAGTTTGTGTGATTTGTCTGTATTCAATTTTTGAATCTGTATAGTCTCCTACACCATTAGAAATATTATATAAAGACTTTTAATTAGCTCCTCTCTTTGAAACGAGAATGTAGTTAAGTGTATAGTTTAAATTTTTTCTTTCTTTTTTTATGTAGAACTTGTTTTCATTTGGTGATAAAGATGGGAAAGGAATTGAAGCCAAGTTGCAGCATCCTTTGGGTGTATCTTGGTGCTCTGTTAAGCAACTGCTGTATGTTGCTGACAGTTACAACCATAAAGTGAGTTCTTAATTATATTTAGTTGTGCTACCTTAGAACAAGTTGCATATGAATATATTGTTTCTTACCCTTTCGAGACGGGTCATGGGTGAAAGGCCATGTCATCTCATTTGTTGACTCGTATTCAAAATTTTTTTGAACTACTATTTCATGAATTTATCTCAGTAACTTTGGTATGAAACCATAGATTGAAATTATAATTTTAGTACTATATCTTACTCAATTTCTTAATTTAAAAGCAAATATTAAAAAACAGAAGATAAACATCAATTTTTGTGTGTCATGTGGTATGTTGAATGCAGCACTGGTTCAAATTGGATGTTTGTGAAATCAAAATACTTAGTCTGTAGTTTTGTACGAATTAGAAACTCAAATAACCTATATTGAAAAGCTAGAATATAAAATAAGAGCCTCTTATCTTTTCAATTTGCTAAGATATTGCTCACGTAATAAAATCAAACACAGTGGCACCCACCCACCTCTTTCCATTTTTGGAAATGCTCCCTTATATACACTAACTTATATATATCACATGAATAACCAGTTGGAAACTCACAATGTCCTCCTAGTGGCTTTCTCAGCCATTTTAATGGGCTTGGTACCTTTTTTTTTCTTTTGAACCAATATTTTAATGAGGTAGAATGTGTCTTTAGTCTGCTCAAAATTTCATACTTTTTTAGACTAAAATACATCTTAGTTACTGAGCTTGATAATTATAGTGGAATTCTATGGTATTAATGTAGTAAATTATGATTTTTTA